TTTTTTTTTTTTTTTGGTTAATGATAATTTTTAACAGCTCAGTCATTTTTATTTTATTTTAGTTAGAAAATAGAGCTGTATTTATTCCTCTTTCTGCAAGGAGATACAACATGCGTCCTTTTTTTCCTGAGGCGTCAATTGTTGCCAACTGACTACATTTCCCAGAAGACCCCAGTCGTACGTAACGAAAAGCATCTTGCGTCGCGTGAGACGCTTCTGTTCTTGTTTTGGCAGTTACTTTCGTTATAGGTTCGATTAGAGACTGTCGAAAAGGCGGACTTGAAGGTGTACTACGACGACGTTGTGGTATTTCACATTTAATTTTGTTGTTTTTGTTCTTAGATTTGACGCTATGTGTTGTCGATTTGAATCAATGTTATGACTAAAACTGGACAAGTCAGCTAACTAGTTATCCTACTAGCTAGCCAGCCAAGCTAGTTCGCTGTGTGTCAACGGAAATGATTGATTAGCGCCCTGATGTGTTTGTGTTAAACTCCACCATCTCCAACTTTATCTTCTTTTACATTTACTTCAGCTGTAATGTCAAGGTGACTTAATGAAACGCAATTCTTTGTGTCGAAATATTAGCAACTGTCAGTTTCTCCTGATAGCGAGTTGTATTTAATTTTTATACCAATTTGATCAGATGTGWATCGAGGACTAACGGCAAGAGGCGGGTCAAGCAAACGAAGAGATTTTTACAGATACTTAGTTGCGCAAATACATCAAATTAACTTTTACATCAACTAGCTAAATCATTTGTAACAAGTCTCTTCATGCTCCTGGTTTGTGTAGGATTCAGCTTCATCGAGCTTATTGTTTCGAAAGCGTTTTTATGAACATTTTTAAAGCTAACCTTCTGGTTGAGTTCATGAAACAGTTGTCTCTCTTTATTAGGCGTAAACCCTTTATTTACTGTAAAACTGAAACCACTCTTGTCAGATTTTAGGGGAATTCCGGAATAAATATTTTAGTTTGTGTAAACTCAGGGATCCTCATGCTTTGAGGCAAAAAGAAAGTCCCTTGTGTTAAAACCAAATGTATAAAGCAGTGATGTAAATTCGTTTTTATTATTAACTCTGGAGGAAAAGGCCGTGTTGATATCCTGTTATGTGCAGTGCTGGTAGCTTTAATCTGTGTGTTTCTGGATTAGATGCTGCGGTCTGGGCTCTGAATGTGATCTCAGGAAGCTGGTAAATGTAGTTTCACGATGGCAGATGGAAACACAGAGGATGACGTTATTGTCCTGGCAAGCTTCAATGTCCACAGAAGTCAAGGTGAGACACATTTGTAACGGACCTCACACTGTAAACAATAAGTGTCATTGTTACTTTCAGACTCCTCCAGACATGACTGGRAATAAAGCATCCTTTTATTCACACACAGTGTTTGTATGAAGGTTATAAAATGTGTTTACATGCAGTTTTTGCTACAGGTCAAGCATCACTGCTATTTTGAGAGAGCATCAACATAAAAGCAGATTATCTTAAAAACTTGTAAAGGTAATTTTGTTGGAGTGATGATCTTCTGGATCAGTGGAAAGGTTTTTAATGATATTACAAATAGCTATATGATAAATCTCAGTATGGAGAAATACAGTGTAATTCTGACAGGATTAATGAGCTAATGGTTAGTTGGTGTGGGACCATCCCCAAAGTAGACTGTTGTCATCTTAAATAGGCAAAATTTCACTGTTTTTGACAAAATTTTAATGCCTCCAGCACAGCTTTTACACCACTAGAACTACCAGACCTCTGCCATTTGGCAGTTATACCTTTAAATCCCAAGGAACTGTCATATGGCAGATGTGAATAGCCCTTCTTGCCTCCAGTATTGTGTAAATGAGGCCATTACATTTGCAAGAAGTAAGGACACTATTCAACAACAAAAGGACACTACTCTGCAACAAGTTGGTCTCCATGGAGCCCAGAGGGACTTCAATGCAACTCCTGTAACTATTATGGTTTGATGACCCCACCCCCAAAAAAATGTCAACATTACCAGAAATTTAGATTCAAGATTCAAAGCTTTATTGTTATATGCACAGTAAAGAAACTGTGCATATAACAAAATATTTTATATAATTCTAAGTACAAGCAAGTATTAAAAGATAAAAATAAAATAAGCATGCAACAATAAGATAACAAAATATTAGTAATAGAAATGTAAACTATACAGAAATATAAACTATGCCAATGTTCACTGTTACCTGGTACTGGCATATTTCAATTTAATGGCTGCACTCCGATCTAATGGCTGCAACAACATTTTTAAAATCTAAAATAAATATAGAACCCATCTCAGTTACCTCTATCGTGTATATTTGTGACATTGTAATATTGTAATATAGTGAGAAACCTTAATTCTATTTTGTTTCACTCAGCATGTAGCTTACAAATAGGCTATTTACTTTTGTGCAGTTTATTATGTGAAGTCTATGTACTTTATTAGCAAGTTTTCGTATGTCTGCAGTCATCTTTCTCTTTATTACAAAAAATATTGAAATAATGTGAAACTGAAACAAAGACATTATTTGAACTATAATTCCAAAACATCTCAAGTATGCCTCCTTTGTACAAATTTAGATTGTTTTCACACTGAAAAAGGTGACATACATTTAACCTTATCTTAAGTAATTTTGTCTTTTGAAAAACTAGGTAAAGATATTTTTACATAAATTTATACAAAAAACCCTCAGCTACTTGAAAAAAATACATTTTTTTTTACTTAAACTTCAACAAAAACTTAAGTAAAATAATCTTATCGGGACATTTTGTCTGTTTTAAGTCAAAATATCTCACCCCATTGGCAATGTTTTTTTCTTGACAAGTCAATATGACTCAAATTAAGATCAAATATTATTTTTTGAGCAATCATTACGTATCAGGATGGGTTAAAATCAAGGGTTGTTTCTTTTCCATCTGAGTCAATGGATCGACATCGTTCACACTATCACCCATCASCCCCGTTTAGCATTACCTGGTAGTGGCTGCATGTACATAACAAAAGGTGGCCTAATGGGTTGCAAATTACCCCAGCACTGCCATTTGCCYGTCTCTGGTAGAAAAAAGGAGTTGTTTGAAAATGCTGGTAGTTCTTAAATGATGGTTTGGGAGTTATTGTAACTCAAACTAATCAAGGTTTTCATAAAAATTGTGTTAGAAAACAGTAAATAGTCCTTCCCTGTCTTTGGGAAAATTCTCCCATTAGAGTTCAGAAGATCTCTGCACAGCTATTTAGGACATCACACACTTGTGCAAGTAAGCACAATTTTATTGAAAGTCAAGATGAAAAGTTCAAGCTCCGACATCCCTGAAAGACCCATCAGGAAGAAGCCAGAGGTGGGAGAGAACAGAAATGTAACAACACTAAACCAGCTCTTTGAATGTTAAAAACACAGGAGATGAGGATAAAATTCAAAATTGTATTTAATTTTAGCCCCAGCTTTTGCTTTAACACTCTCGCCACCTCCCAAAATTATCCATCGCTTTCCAAAACTGTCCATAGCTGAATTGCCAGTGTGTGAATGTAAACAAATGACTCCTACTTGTTGGTAACAAAACATGACTGCTGATTTCACACATTATTACAAATTATGTTGTACATCTTTGGTAATGGATGATATTCAGTGTATATTTAGTGGTTATTGTGATCATTGATGGTTCATACAAAAATTAGGCTTTTAAAACATAATTTTGACAGCTAATATGGCTTTAAAACAACTAATCTCAAATGTTTCATGGCTGCTCATGCAAATGTTTTATAAACCTTTGCACTGCCATCAGTTTTGCATTTATTCTGCCAGAAATATGATAATATTCCTTCAGTAAATGCCTTTTACACTGGAAGTGCCATAGCTAGCTTGCTGCTACTGCTCTTTGTACTGAACCCTGGTTTGAAACATTTGAACAATCACTTTATCCCATATGTCAAATGAGTATCTGAACAGGATTTTCTCCGAGGACAACATCCTGGAGTATTTCAAACCTAACAGGATCTTTAGACAGTGGCTGGTCCAAACCCCAAACACAAACTGAGCTGTGAGGTGTCTGCAGCTCAGTGCACTGAGGAGAATTGGAGAAACTAAAGCCCCTTTCATAAGARGGCTCAGTCTGGGCCTGTTGCGTGTTCAGTCCTCCAACCAGCATTCAGAAAAAACAAAGGCGGATAAGTGAGTAAATTTTAGTCGCCTCTGGTAAGGGTTGGGAAATATTGGCAAAAAAATTAATCACGATTAATTGTGGTATTTTGCRGATAACGATTAATTTAACGATTAATCCCCTGGAGAACCTGGACGCCCTTATGTCCTAGTCACATGACCAATTTAGTGGAAAATATTTGCTCTGTAAAAATCTGTTCTAAATTGTGTGAAAATCACAGACTTCAGGCTTAAGATCAAATTTTAAATTGTATTGATAGATAAATAAATTACAGAACTTTTATTTTAATGTTTGTCATATTTGAAGCAGAGAGGAGCACCGAGCGGACTCTGCCTGGTTGCATTAATCGTATTAATCATCAAGTGCCAAAAAATAATCGATTAATGCTTTTCTGACGATTAATCACACACGATACGATTATGCCCAACCCAACCTCTGATGCGCCCCTGATTTGCGAGCAGAGGTAGTATCAGAGCCGGACTCGAGCTGGGCAGACCCACTTGTGAAAGCAACCCGCGGATCAGCGCTCAGAATATGATGATGAAATCCACCGGATTAATCAACAAGCAGATCTATTAACAAGGGAATATTAAAAATGACACGAAACAGCACCTTGTAAAAATTAGTTTCGTTCTTTTTTTTCTGATAACGCAGAGCAGTGAGCAGCGGAGGAGCTGTGTGTGTGTTTGTGTGCGGCTGGAGATTTATTACTGAGGGAATATTAAAAATGACGCAGAACAGCAAATTTATAGCTGTTAGTTTATAAAATATTGAGCTACAGGTTCGCTATAATGAGATGATTTCGTTTGTCTTTTTTTTTTTGTTTTGTTTTTTTGTTTTTTTATATGACGCAGCAGCCGGTGAGCAGCAGAGGATTAATCTACAGATTTCACGGAGGGAATATTATAAGTGACACAAATGAGCAACTTTGTATAATAAGTTTTAAAATATTAAACCACCACAGAATCACTAAAGGGAGTTAATTCAGTTGTTTTGTTTGATACGAGGCAGCAGGCGTCTGTCCCACAATAAATACGTCGCGGTCCAGTTCAGCCCAGCTGAGTTCTGCTCCACGCCTCTTTTGGATCCGCGCCGCTGGTTCATTTATGAACACGTACATGTGAGCGGGACCTGCCCGCCTTCACCTGTGGTCTTATGAATGACTCGGGGAGGCTTAAAGCCGGACTGGACTGTGTGGCGATTGTGTGGATTTGACTTATGAAAGGGGCTTAAACCTCACCACAGACACAGTACTCGACACTGGAGAGCAGCTCTTCAGAACAAGACTAAGTTGTCCACCTACACCTCAAGGATAATAGACACATTTTTAAAGACCAAAATTTTCATATTTTTTACAGACGGTTTGGAAATCTACACTCCAATTTAGAACCGAGACAGATCCCTAGATGGGAGGTGGAACATCCATCTGCTTTGTTTAACTTTTCTTTTGGGATTTACTACATCCTGGATGACTGAGTATCTACACCATTGTTTTGGATAAAGGGCTTTAAGATGCTCCAAATTGTAACCGATTAGCTTTTGATAAAGATGACCTCTGAATCTGCATTATAACCTGTATGTTGGATTTTTATGGGTTTAGTTTAAAAAGATTTTTGTTTACATACTGTAATTATGATTAAAGCTCCAGGTACTGTAAATCTAAATGAATGAGGTGTGACTGTATGTGTTCAGGCTCTCGTTCAGGTCCGAGGGAGCTCATCACCATCTCTGATGACTCTGATGAGGAAACTGTGGCTTTGCTACCAGGCAGCCCGGTTTTAGTCCCGGACGATGCAGATGAGGATGATGACATCAGCATCCTGGAGGTGGCTGTCGCTCAGAACTCGTTTAAATCTGCTTTTTTAAGTTTGTAGACAAAGATTGTCAGAGTTATTTGTCAATTTAACAACAGAGGCTGTGTAAGATTTTTGTAACAATTTATTTTGTAATTTTAGCATTTAGCTATGGTTTGGCTACCTTTAGCTTTGTGCTTCTGTTTTGCTAATTTTATCTTTTTGCTATGGTTTTTCTAATTTTAGCCATTTGTGACTATTTAGTTTTAGGCTACATTTGAACTCATTTTAACTTCTAGCTACTGTTTTAATAGTTTTAAGTTTCGTAATCGGTTTTATTACATTTAGCTGTTTGCTGCAGTTTAGCTACTTTTAGCCTTAAGTAACAGTTTTTGCAAGTTTTTCTTTTTGTTATATTTGTCATTTTCTGCTTTTCACCACTGTTTTGCTAATTTTACTTTTTAATCTGAAATTTTGCTTATTTTAGTTCCGTTTTGCTTGTTTTAACTTCTAAAATTCTTTTTAACTTAAACAAATTTCAGCTGTTGTTTAGCAGTCACACTGCATTTAGCAGAAAATGCTAATTTTTTTATTTTTTATTTATTAATTTTTCATTCATGCTTCTTGTTCGTGTGTTTTCCTGCAGCCACCTGTTCTGGCACACAGGCCTGTAATTCGCCAAGCGGCCACATGGGTCAGAACCAACCAAATTCAATTTGTAGTTCAAAGTAGTACAGCCTCTAGGGTTCCCTCAGGGGATCCAGGTTCTGCTCTCTCTACCTCCAGAGATGCCAAGACCAGCCAGCCAGCTGCACACACACAGAGTGCAGCGCCGCCTGGCTCACCTGGACTCTTAGAGCCGCAGCCCGGTCCTTCATCATCACACACACAATCCCAGCCAAAGCTTCACACACACATTCAGCATCAAGATGGCACGCCAGCATGTACAGAAGTGGAGATCCACTTTGTTCCGTCTACCTCCACAAACGCCAAGGCGTGTGCCACTTCATCTCAAACACAAAGACTTTTCAATCCTCAGCCCGGCACGTCTGCACCTTCACAGCCACGTCTGTCTGAGCAGCAGACGAGTGTCTCTGCTGGCGCCACGCAATATCCTGCTCCAACGACAGCCTCGTGTTCTGCACAGACTCAAGAGAGACCTAGTACAAGTAGGCCAACGCCAGACGGTGCACAGCCCAGCACTTCATCTGCGAGTCCTCAGCCTGGTACTTCTACACAGGTCCAGGCGGTTGTGCTGCCCCACTCCAGCATCGTGAAGGGGAAGCTGGTTCTCCTTCCTCAGCAGCCGAGCGTCCAAGCCTCTGCTCTGATAAGCCAGCCTCAGCTGCCGCAGCGGCTCCAATGGCAAAAGCTGGTGGTGTCACCCAATTCAAGGGAGGTCAACCTCATTCAGATTGAGCCCCAATCCCTGGCCCAGGCCCCCACCCAGCCCGCAGTCCAGCCCGCTCAAAACCCTCAGGTCCTACCCGTGGTTCCCCCTGCAGTTCTAGTAGCCGCTGCTCCGGAGAGACTAGGTCCTCCAGAGGCAGGCCACAGGATCATCCTGGGGAGTCAGGTGCCAGCGGAGCCGGTTCCCAATCCTCTAGCTCCCAACCACAACATCAGGCTGCCAAACAGGAACGCTGACCCTCCAGAACCTCACAATGGAGGAGAGGCCGGCCTACTACGGCCTCCAAACCCCCAACAGGTTAATCCAGCTCCTGTGCTCGTGGCAGTCCCCCCTGCTCCCGAGGACATTCCACAAATAGAGGATGCAAGACCTGGACCGTCTGCACCGCAAGACAGACCGGATCAGCGGCCTCTTGTTCGAGCCCTCATCACTGGTGTGGTGAGCATCACAAACACTCTTTGGATCTTTACAACCTGATGATTACTAAGTTAGGTACTAAAGTTAGTCTAATGTCTCTCACCGTGTGTCCTCTGCAGCGGAATCTGTTCCCAGATGTTCAAGAAGCCTATGTAGCAGAACTGATCACTAAGAATAACGTGAAAGACTTGAATGTGTAAGAAACTTGTTGCTCTTTTTATAACTGTATGACCCAATAATGTGAACTTTTCTTGTCTGTTTGATATCAAGTCCTGCGTAGTTCTACCTTTAAGCCCCTGACTGTGTGTTAAGTTTGTTTGATATACATGTTCCTGGGTGTTTGCAGTATCTGTAACCTGCTGCTGGAGAATCCAGAGTTTTCCGGGAGTGAGGCGGCAGCAGCAGCCACAGTAGCTCCCACCAGTATCCTGCTAGAGTCAGGAGACACCCAGACCGAGGTGAGGGGGTTGTGGCATCTAAAACAATAAAAATAAAAAATAAAAACACTTCTTTTTTCTTCCTTTTTTTTTTTTTTGTAAATTTTAGATAAATGAGGAGAGTTTTTCATTTAAGCACAAAGAAAACTCATGAAAATTGTTAATAATAATTGCATAATAATAATAATAATAGTCACACCATTGATCAATTTCCCTGAAAACCTTATCAGACTGTTGCAGTTTCAGAGGAGTCGGGCTGCTTTAGATGTTTTTCAATCTGAAAGAAGTGTGTCTGTGCTCTCAGGTCACAGAGGACTTGTTTGACTATGCGAAGCTGAGCTCAATGGGACCTGAAGTTGTGATGCAGGCAGCCGACCTGCTCATGGCAGATTTCAGGATGCTCAGCTGTCAGGACATCAAATGGGCTTTAAATGTTCTGAAGGGACACTATGCAATCACACGCAAGGTACGCGCAGCTCAGAAAGACAAGGAATTCCTTCCTTTTGCTGCCTCTTCCCTATCCCCTACTTCCCTAACTCRTGTGGATTTGTTTAGGCCTTATGTGAAGCGCTGAAGAAGTGGCAGGAATCAGGCGACATGTCGGGAAAGAGACGACGATGCAGAACCTCCTCGGAGCGCTGCTACGTAGATTTTCACTTTGAGCACGGTGAAGAAACTTAGTCTGGACACTCAAATTCATTTATATAGTTTTTCTTAGCATAATTTCCTCTAATGGAAACACCATGTAACACCCCGTTTGTCCGACAGGTTCGGTAAAGTTGAACCGAAGGATGTATTTCTTGGAGAAAGACCGTCGGTACTGCAGGACGTACAACAACCTAGAAGCTTCTGTGCAGAAGGAGCTCACGTTTTATCAGCAGAAAGCCAAGGAATGGGCAGAGGTACACACAAACACATCACTTCCTGTTTTCTGTCCCTCACACTCAGCAAAGCATTTTATCTGTCACGCATTATGTTTGAGTAGTGTGCAAGAACTTCTGATTAGTCGCTAAAGAATGCTTTGTTCTCTGCTCTTTTTCTTTGTTTGAAATAGGTTTTACTAAAAAGAATATTTTCCCACAGCTGCAGATCTTTCTGGCTTTTATTAGACATTTTATGCTGATATAAATCTGTCTTTCTTCCCAGCACGAGGACTTCCTGCTGGCTCTGCAGGTGAATGAAGACGAATACAAGAAGGTAAAAAAACCACAAATGTTTTAGTCTTACCTAAGTAACTTCTGTACATCAGACAGAAAAAGCCTCATTTGACCCAGCTGTTTCTGGCTCTTTAATGTTTTTCTACATTGTCTTCATCCCAGGTGACACAGTTATTGTTAAATATACACTTTGAGATTAGATACTGCATTTTAAACTTTTTAGTTGCTTTAAAGGTGAGAAAAAAGACGATTTGATGTCTGAGGTGTAAAATTCAAGAAGCCGTATTTCGTTCACATTTTTAGGAAGAATAAAGATTTTTAAATGTCAAAAGAGAAAAAAGGCTAAAAATACAAAAATGTTATGCCTTTTTATATRGTCAGTTAGTGACACTCTGGTAATTAGCATTATTTAATTTATTCTTTTTAGCTCTTGATATTTTAGTTCCTGTTTCAGATTATTTTTCTGCAGAAGTCATCACGTTCAGAAAGATTTGAGTCATTCTGCAGGCACGTCTTGTTTGCAGAAAGACGCAACATTTGCAGTTTTCTAGACCTTATTTTTTGTAAAGCTCTGACTTTACAATAACGTGTTTACATTTAATCAGAAATTTCACCAAAACAACATGAAGTTTCCTCTCTGTAGCTGTTATTCAACAATCCAGATTTACACAACTGTACAAAGAGCTAATAAATGATAAAGCTCTGTATATAGTTTAGAGTGAAATGACTGCTCTCCATTTAATATTTTGGATTGAAMTTTGGGGAAAAGCATGTAAAACAATTACAAATCCCATTATTAATTTTTGTGGAAAAAAACTGTACGAATTATTACTAGAAAACATTTCAGTCACCCATCAGATACATTATTTTATCAAAAAAAATTACTGAAAGTTTACATTACGGTTGATTATAATATTTTAAAGGTTATGTTTAAGGCTCACAAAAACATATTACCTTAAAACATTGCATTAAATTTTGTTAAGAGAGAGACAATCTTAAAGGAATGGAGATTTGTGTAAAACCTAAATTTGAACCAGTTGGAAGGAGCAGAGTACTTCAATACAAAAAATAAGACTGGAATAATGTAGGGAGTGATGTTAAAACTGCCGGATCATTAAGGCTGGTTTGTTGAAGATATATTGATGCACTACAGTGTGTTTTGATATGTTGTTGTTTGGGAAGGATCTGACATTGTTTTTCTGTATATTGTTATTGTTGGAATTGTTAATTTATTTTTTGGGGGGAAAGTGGCAGATATAATAAGATTTCTTTTCTTCTTCTTTGTTTCATTTATGATTTGTYTTTTTTATTGTTTGTAGATTTATTTTCTATTTGTTTCTTAATGAATGAATAAATAAACAAATCACATGTGTCAAACAAAACATTTTGTAAACAAACAAGAACACTCAGATTTACTTTAAAAATGTTCTCCCAGGACGGTCAGCTGATCGAGTGCGGCTGCTGCTACGGGGAGTTTGCGTTTGAGAAGATGACGCAGTGTTCAGACGGTCACCTGTTCTGTAAAGAGTGCCTGGTTAAATACGCTCAGGAGGCTGTGTTCGGCTCTGGAAAGGTACGATCACGAGTTTTTCTCCTTCACATTTGAATTAAATGCTAATGCTGCTTGGCAGATGGAAATGACCCGACCCAATAAAAATCCACATCCTTCTGATTTGAATGATATGATGTTTGGTTAAATAAATAGATAAAAATTCTCTTCTAATATTGGCTCCATTATGGTCAGATGTACAGGTTAGTCATTTCTTTGACAAGAAACCTTTTGTTTTCTAGTAAAAATACACTTAATTAAGCACCCAGAAGGAAAGGGCTGAATTGGATGTAATTAAGTCCACATGCAGACCAGTGATGGGTGTGTAAATGATTTGATTTAAAAAAAAAAAACTTCAACAAAATCACCATAATACAGGGCTATTCACCCTGAAGAACTGCTGGAATTGACTTCCATCACCACCACCACCCCACCCCCCTAAAAAAAATCCCCTGAAACGGGACCTTTTATTTCCTTATTTAAAAAGAGATTTCAAATAATTTGTGAATTAAAAATGTCCGTTTCAGTGCAACAAAATAAACAAATTTAAAAGGTAAAGATAATACTTGTTCTGTTTCATGCTGCAGCGTTTCACCTACCATTAATGAGCAATGGGGTGGGGGATGTCTGGCCTCCGAGCAGTTAGCTTTGAGTACCTGRAACCCTGGAGCAATTTAGTTGAATAGCCCTGCCACAAATCTTAAAATAAGGAAATGTGGTGATATCAGGTTGTTACAGGAGTGTCACCAGACCAAATCACCAGAGGATGTCTCATAAGCCGTGTTTCCATCAACATTTTTTTAATGCAAYTTTGAAGTATTGCATTAGAAAAGGTTAATGGAAACAGCACAATTCGGAAAAACMTCCTCTYTTTCACAAAAAAGTTGATACGCTRGCTTTAGGTGGTTTTTGGATGTTTTTAAAAAAAGAGTTAATGCACAAAAGGGGAGATGGAAACACATTCGCTGAATAAGCGAACCTTTACTTCACAGAATTGATCACCTGTTCCCGCTGGCTGTCCGGTACCYGTACCCTCCTCCAGSTGTCAGCGTTTTCTCAGATATTCCCATAATGTGAAGAGAATTACATTTCTTTCTCTGTCTCCAGACAGCATGTAACATCGCCAAAACTAGTTGATGTGACAGAATAATTACAACTTRCCTGACAGTAGCAACATGTTCCTGATAACTTTTCTRRATTGTCCTGAGATGTGTATCCRTGCAAGTTTGCAMCTTTTCTTCCTGTTTACTACAGCCATGAGTAACGTCAACCTCTGATGTAAATACTTTGTGCAGCCTGGTTGATTTGCTCCAAGCCAGTAGATGGAAACACATCTGATTCGCAATTTTTCTTTTTTTCTTTTTGCAACATTGTAAAAGTTCGCTCAAAATTTGAATTAAAATTGGACTGAAACCTGGTTATACACCAACATAAACTGGAGTACGAGGAAAGCCAGAAAACGCAGACCAAGGCTACGACGTTGGTTACATGTCAGTGCAATTGTCAACTGTTAACCGTCATAATAATCTTTAGCAGCTAAATGCTACAGTAAATCATGATAATTGTTTTTTGCTATTATCACCCAACCCTGGTCCAGAGATAACACATTGATTTAATTTGCCTCCTACATCGCAGGACCTGCACTGTGACTGTTGGGCACACGCACATTGAGATGACAATGCTCAAACAATACGTTGTGCAGCTCTAACACACAGACATCAGTGTCATTCTGCGTTGATATGTCTCACCCCTCCTGAGACAGCATCTTTGTACAGTTATTAACAAGACGCCTAAGTCAGTCTGTGTCTATAAACTGCCTGCCTCGTGTTGAGGTCCTCTCATGGTCATCCAACCATCCGATGCCCAGTCAAACGTCTCATAGTAGCTGATCTGTGTGATGTGAAGGGCCGATACCGGCAGCTGTGAGCCGACCTGCAGCAGGAGAGGACCCAGCAGCTCATGACTTTGTTCACTGAATCACTGGTTGGATTCAGGCCTGAGGCGGTGTCACACTCTTAACATGAGACCAGCAGTGTGTCCACACTCAGTCTGTTATTTATCTGACCTGATTTTCTAATCAGTGAGTGTGAAATCCCTGAATCTGAACAGAAAAGGCATCTTGAGTTGTTTGTGTGCAGTCGTGTCTTATTCTTGGTGTATTGTTGTTGTTGTTGCAGTTGGAGCTGAGCTGCATGGAGGCAGGCTGCCCCTGCTCCTACCCCATGTGTGAGCTGGATAAGGTCCTTCCAGAGACCATCCTGTGTAAATACAATGAGAGACAAGCAGAAGAGGCGGTGGCCGCCACCTGCGCCGATGAGCTCGTGAGGTGAGTGTTTGTGCTGAACCAGCTACATATGTTGCAGTTTGTTCCTCTAAGCTGCTGTTTCCCATAAACCCATGCAGCTGCTTTAAAGATTTCTCCCATCGTTACTCTGTAAACCGTCTTTCTTTTCTTCCGCAGGTGTCCGTTTTGTAACTTCCCAGCCTTACTGGACAAAGACATGTCTTTATTCAGCTGTCCCAACCCTCGGTGCCGCAAGGTTGGTGCTGTGTGCTTCATACCAGATTTTTGTTTTCTTGTGCAAGAATCTCACAGCTTAATGTCTTTGTACAAAATTTAAAGAGAGTTGCAACAAATGATTCAGTGCATCGTGACAGAATAGCCTTTGTGCTGCCTTCACTTCAGCATAAATCATCTCAGAGCTTTTTGAACACGAGTCTGATCAGCACGTGTGAGAGATGGAGGATTGATGAGCTGTTTGATTTGTTTTTTTAAGAGACGATAAAGCGTTCCATGTGGCGAGGTCGCCACCTCTGTGTTTATCTCTGAGTCTCCTCCTTCTGTCTGAGGAATGCAGMGGAATCACTGCCCTTTGTCTACCACTGTTGAAACATTTTATGTTTCGTTTTATGAAGAAAAGTACAAACACACACAGGAACTACTCTCCATTCTCACTTAAAACTTGTTTTTCTGTTGTTGTGTTCTTGAACATCTGCTCTGACTTTCAGTCTTATCTTTTTATTCATGGGAAGGGAGGAGATGGGTGTGTGTTTGTGTGTATGTACTTGTTTTTACTACAAAGTGAGGACCACTTGCAAAATATTTACTATCAAAGTGAGGTCTTTGATGTAAAGTGAAGACCTTTTCCCATTCCTTCTTTTATTTGCAGCTGTATGTCACTTTACTTGTTATATTTAGAGGTAATGGTGTGAGTTAAGTTTTGGTTCAGGTTAGGGTTAGGAATAGATTAGTTTTAGGGAAAGTGTCTGTCTGGGTTAGGCATGAATGCAGTTACAAAAATGAATGGAAGTCAATACAAAGTACTCAGTTTAATGCAAGTACAAGAATGTGTGTGTGTAAGCA